ACCCGGGTCCTCCAGGCCCTGTGCGGCCACCCGGCGAGAAGGGTGAGCACGGTTTCCTACACTACGGTGCTGCGTGTGGCTTTCTACGCTGGCCTCAAGAACCCTCACGAGGGTTACAAGGTGCTCAAGTTCGACGACATAGTCACCAACCTAGGCAACAACTATGATGCGACCAGCGGCAAGTTTACGTGCAACATTCCCGGCACCTACTTTTTCACCTACCACGTTCTCATGCGCGGCGGCGACAGCACGAGTATGTGGGCGGACCTCTGCAAGAACGGCCAGGTGCGGGCCAGCGCCATTGCCCAGGACGCAGACCAGAACTACGACTATGCCAGCCACAGTGTGATCCTGCACCTGGACGCGGGCGACGAGGTCTTCATTAAGCTCGACGGAGGCAAAGCGCACGGCGGCAACAGCAACAAATACAGCACGTTCTCCGGCTTCATCATCTATTCGGATTGAGCTGCCCGCGACCCCTCCATCCCCTGTCCCCTACGGGGTTCCTCCCGTCGGGGTAGAGAATGACGCGTCCCCAGCCACCCCCTCGCTGCCCGTCGCGGTTGCAGGCCCTCCCGGCTATGACGCCCCCGGCCTGCCCTTGCCACTGTCTGGGCCGCAGTTAGCCCTCCCGCCGGCTCGCCGCAGAGCCGGGTCCATCGCGCCCTTCCCGGCCCCCGGGAGGCCACCTCCGCTCCATCCGGCCCGCGCTGTCTATTTGTACAATAGGATTGTTTATTGCCTACCCTGCCGGCCAGCCCACCCCAGCTTGGGGCGAGGTCTCGATGGGGTCGCTCCCCGCTCCATGCGTTGCCCACCTGATCTGGAGTGGTGCTGCCTGGGGGAGGGGTGGGTCGGGGGCTGGGTAGCTTCCCAGAACTCCCTACAGCCCCAGCCCGGCTGCGCCCCCTCTGACCAAAGCTATAATAAAAACACTTCCACCCCTTAAAAAAAAAATCCTTTTTTTTCCTATTTCTTTGTATCTGTAAGAGATGATGGATGGTCACTAAAACTACTGTGGCCATCATCTCATGATGTATGTTAAGTCAAATCATTATGTTGTACACCTTACACTGATGCAGTGGTATATGTTAATTATATCTCAACAATAGTGGGGCAAAAATCACATGTTTTTTTTAAAGAAAAGAAACAGGAGGGGGTAAATGGAATTAATGTGTTCTAATATTCCATTATTATTAGAAAATTATAGAAGTATTTTTAAGAATACAATATATGAAGGATACATGTAATTTCTAAATAAGGACTAAAAGAATGATCCAAATATACATAATGAACAAAGGAAAAATAAAATAATTTTAGAAGTCTCATCAGCCCAAGAAACGTAATGAAAGACAAAGTGAGTATAGAGCCAGTGGGTCAAATTAAAAAAAAAAGAGTTAAATGATAGATATAAATTTAACTATGTCAGTAATTTCATTAAGTTAATTGGAATACATTTTTCAAGAAAAAGACTGATATTTTCAGACGAGATTAAAAAGCATAATTAAATTATATGTGGCTCACAATATTCTAACCTTACATGTAAAATACTGAAATGTTGAAAGCAAAAGGAAAAAAGATATGTGGTACAAACATTAACCAACAACAACAACAAAAAATCCCTGATGTATATTTATAGTAATATTAAACAGTGTAGATGTTCAGGAAAGAAAAAAACCTGGAAATAATGAGGTACCTTTCACAATGATAAAGAAGTCAGACTACAAGGAGAATTTCAAAATTCAGCAATAATTATTCTGAAAGACATCATATGAGAGTTTGGTGAAATAAGTGGAGAAATAGAAAAACTCACAATTAAGCAAATCTGCAAATCATGAAGAGCTGAGTATATCTCCTTCAAAGGCTAACAGGAAAAAAAAGAAAATATCAGAAAAAATAAGAGATCTGAGAAATACAATTTGAGGTGTTTACCTAATTGACATGCATGGAAGTTTGCACCCAACAAATAGAGAATTTAATTCTTTTCAGCATATGGAATATTTACTAAAAAAGTTATATGCTAGGTCATAAAGCAAACCTCAACAAATGTTAAAAGACATAAAAAGTTTAGATTACGTTCTCTTACTCTAGTCGAATTGAGCTAGAAGTTATTAACAAAAGAAAGAATAAATATGGACAATTTTCAAAAGCCTGGAAGTTAAGCTATACACTTGTAAATAGCTCCTGGATTAAGGGAGAAATAACAGAGGGAATTTAGAAATATTTGAACTAATGATAAAGAAAAATACATCAGTGGTTAGAGAGAAATTTGCATCCTTAAATTCACTCTAGAAGCAGTAACAGTAGAAACAAACAAGCAAACAAACAAACAAAACCGTGAAATGTTTCTAAATCACGAAGTAGATAAAAGAACAAGTAAACACCAAGAGTAGAAATGAGGAAATATAAGGATAAATTAACAAAACAGAAAAGAAGTGAATAAGTGAATTCATATGGTATTTCTTCCAAACCCCCACTAAATGCCTCTCTGTGTTCATAATCAATCAAAGTCTTGGAGGGATAAATATATTTTTCTCCTGGAGTATATAATATGATTGCATGCACTTTGTTCTTCCTAAATCCATTATTCTGTCACTGAATCTACTAGCTTCTAATCTAATGTGCTAAGCTCCTCCTCCATAGGATAAGCTTAGATGCCTGCCTTGCTAGACACCACTCTCTCCAACAAGATGGCTTCCTTCCAAGGACTTTTCTGTCACCCTGAACTTCCCATGGTCTACAACAACCCCGCTCCTTCTATTCATATCAAGACTCTTATGATTTCTAGGAAATGTCAAAGGATTTCCCCTTTCATCTGATTATAATTCAAAACCCTAAACAATATACTGTCTCTGGCTCCAGAGTCCCAGCAAAATGTCTTTCCTTTGAGCATCTCAGGTACTTGGGTCTATTCCTTTTTATTTGTTATTAAAAAATACCTTGTGGTGCTACTTGTCATTCTATATTCATACATATTCAGATATTTTGGGGGTCGTGTAGCTGCATTGGGGACACCATTTTAACCTAAATACATTGATAAGCCTCTGATCAAATAAATTAGCACAGTCAGCTCAACCAATGGACTTACAGAAAGTAAATACACACACCATTGTGGATGTTGGCCCAGGTAACCCCATTTCCTCGATATAGGGTGGTTATCAACATGTTTCAGTGTAAATAAACCTTAAGAAGTAGTTAGTTTTCTGTATTTTTGTTATGTCAAGTGTTCTTCTTAGGTCTGTTCTCCATAAAATATTCTCTGAAAACACAAATGCCTTACAATTTGCAACAGTAGAAAAAGCCATCTGATATTTAATGAGTCTGTGTTGCATTACGGGAAATTGCTGGTGAATGGAATTTTACTGCTCTGACCAAGGGAAATAGTTGAGTTTGGGATGTCAATTTTAGCAGATGTGTAGGTTTTCTGAACAGATGAACAATTTTCAGATCTTTTTTTTCAAGAATGGTCAGGACTATGATACGATTGAGACAAGATCTATGTTTAAATGCATGTGCTATATTCACTTCAGAATCTAAATCCTTCTCACATTGAAAAATTTCAATTATCACAACCTTCAAAAAGAAAACAAACTATTTTTATTTACCGGGGGAATAAAACCCAGAACTCCAATAATATGTTTTCTTATTATCACTTAATGTTTGTAAACTTAAAATAGAAATAAGGTCAGAATACAGAGAGAATAAAGAGGTAGAAAACACTTTTTAATTTGTCAAGTTTTGTATAGACCTTGAGATCTTCAAAGACAGGGATTACGTTTGATTCATCTTTTAAACCCCCACCCTGGTCAGTTACAGCAGATAAGAGTTTCCCAATGTATGTTCATTAACTTAATCACTGCATTTTTACCTTTTCCTCTGATCTTATTGGGGGCAAATACACTAGCCCATTTATGGGCCATTACGTATAGCAGCTAGATATCTATTTTATTTTATGTAAAGGTTTAAACGTATCATGGTGAGGGTTAAACATATTTTCTTTCCTCTATAAACTTTCCTGTATCAGCACTTTCTTCTGATTGAGGGGCAGGGAGGATGGGGTTCAAACTGGAGACTTCAAGATCCAACTGCCTGAGATCAAGTCCAACATGTGTGTGTCTTTGGGCACATTGTTTATAATTTCTGTGCTTTTATTTCCTCAGCTGTAAAATTGGAATGATAATAATAGTGACTTTCTTATGTGGTGGGTGTAAAAATAATACCCTTTGCATGAAAATCATTTAGCACTCTCTCTGGCACATAAATATATTCAATGAGAATGAACTATTATAAACTCCCATTTTGTTGATCCTAAGTCTCCTGGTTAGCCACAAACCAAATGTTAATCATTTATCAGCAATTTAGCAACTAAGTATTAGTTATGTAACAGAAATTCTACTAAATCTAAATTAGTTAACATTAGGCTAACTAAAAAGGCAATTAAGCAACAAGATGTGAAGAATTTTATAAAAAAAATAATAGGAAGCTATGGAAACAGAAAAGTAGAGGTGCCTAACCTTCAGTAAGAGTCAGGGCACTATGTTCACTGAGAATTTTTATCATGAATAAACACTACATTTTGTCAACTTATTGTTCTGCTCCTCTTAGGGTGATCATATTTTTATTAGACTTTTGGTACCCTGAATTACATTAATTGATTTTCAACACTGAACCACTGAGAATTCCCTACTTAGTCATGATGTATTATCCTTTCTGTATGTCTGGATTTGCTAAAATTTTAGGAAAATCATGAAGGAAGTTGGTCTACTGTCTTCTTTGAATGTCCTCAAATGACTTGGGTATCATAGAATGAGTTAGGAAATGTCCTAGAATTGCTGTTGCTTTTCTATCTGGTTAGAATTTACAGATGAAGACTCTTAGTCCTGGAGTTGTCCTTATGGGAAGATTTTAAATTATAAATTCCCTTTATTTAAAATAATTTTTCAATCTCTTCTAATTTCTATTCCTATCTTAATTAGAGTATTTACCATATGTCAGATAGAAAAAAGAACGTTCTGAATGAAAGATGTTAAAAGGAGGTAAACCATCGTTCATGGAGTCACTGAGGCGTATGCATGATGGAATACCAGCTGCTGTGTTTTCATTCAACAAATGTTATTTTCATGGGTCAGTAGGTTGAGCCTAGCTAGAAACTACTGTAACTGTGGAGCATTTCATGAGTTTCACTGATGTTCTTGTATGGGGCCTTCATGATGAGGCTTTTAAAGCACTTAACATTTATACAATAACATTATTGCTTTCACAGGAGTTCAGATACACCCACATAGTCCATAGGTTTTCAAGAATAAGTAATCCATTGTGATGCAAATCTTCTGTAGTGAGCTTGAAACTCAAAATCTGTCCTGGTTGCTGTCTTTCTGCTTCGTTTTGCTTTGTTGATTTGTATCCTGGATGGATTCTTCTGTATTCAATTGGCACCATCTTATTCCCAGATAATAAAATCTCTCTAGGTTCTTGACTAATTAATAGGAAAAATTATTGGCTAGTGGTGGTGTGGGAGTTTTGATAGAGGGTGAGATTGGAAAACATCTATAGGAAATGGAATGGCTTGCTAAATAAATCAGGCCTTTACATTTTTTATGAGGCCTTGTCTTGAGTTCAACTCAAGAAGTCATGGAGATAATCAGCTGGGGGATAGCATATTTAAT